GGAACAGCCAGCTCATATGTCGTGCCGTCGGCACAGGCAGCGGATTTCTACACCCTGACGCTACTGTAAGTGGGCCCTCTTCGCCAAACTACACCGCAGAATACATCCTCCTCTGGCGCAACTCTGAAAAGTCTATCGCACCTTTCAACCTTACGCCGTTCGCCATCACACTAAATGATTGTCCCGACGAATCGCTGAGGTCATACTTGTGCCCAACAGACTGCCGGCTACGACCTGATCAACGGGCGTTTGAGATGGGGAAGTATGAGTTTGCGAATGGGTTGAAGATGCAGCAAGAGGAGCGGCAGCGGGCGACGCGGCGTGCGAGGGAAGAGGGGCGCGCGCCGCCCCATCGACCCAGGTGGTTTAGGGCGGAAACGGATGAGGATACTGGGGAGAGGGTGTGGGCGCCGTCGAAGGCTGGGGATAGGTTGGAGTACTGGGTGGAGAGAGAGAGGATATGGGAGATGGGAGGCGGACAGCCTTGGAAGAATGTGGAACCTATTTTTATAGAGGAGGCTATTTAGTTAATGCGAATGATTCAGGGATAGAGCAGGATTTCTATTTAACTGTAGGGCTTTCGTAAACCTGGCAGTGAAAAATAATGCGTATTAGTTATGGCCCCTATGATAGTTATGTAGTAGCCTTTTAGATTCATATGCGATTCCTTTATGTTTCGTATATCAGTGCTTTAACCTCGAGCGGTCTGCGATGCGAGTTGTGGTACACCGAGCCTTACTAGTACTCTTTACGTCGTTTTTGATGCTCATTCTTGATTGTAGATATATATATGGGACACATTCGAGTTAATACTCGGTCCGAGTAAGGGGCGCATCACGCTGTATTGTATGTATTCTTATACACATCTCAACCTATCGAGGCTGATCCCGTCATAACCGTTCAGTTTTCCAAGTCACTGGGCTTCATCGATCCATCTTTGCTCCTCGATCCATAATTCTCCCTTCGAAGTCGTACCCCTTCCCATTGATCTATTGCATCTCCAAAATCATGTTCTCCGAGATTGATATGGTTCCGAATCCGGGTCAAGTCCGATTCAATTATCATCCACTCTTCGGCTCTCCAGATGCAGATGTGATATTCCGTTCCAGTGAAGGAACATATTATAGGCTGCATTCAATCGTGTTGCGGACTACTTCAGGGTTCTTTCGCCCTATGCTCTCCTTGAGCGATCATGTCGATGGCAGTGGCTCAAGCCCTCAGGCTGATCCGTCATCCGAGACCAGTCCGATCGGATTGCAAGAGAAGGATGGTGTTCTCACCAGAATTTTCACTATGATAAGTGGAATAGAAATTCCTCAATGGGATTCCTTGGATGAGATTGAGGAGGTGCTTCATGCTGCCGAGAAATATGACATGCCGGGACCCATATCCATCTTACGCTCTGCCATTACATCGCATCGTTTCATGGCCAATCCCTTACACGTATATGCCATCGCTGCGCGGTATCAATGGGAAGAAGTACTCCAACACGCAGCAGAAGCGTGCCTCGCAATTCCTATTCACAAGCGGAATTATCTTCCAGTTCTCAAACGCGTACCCACCGATGATCTTCTCCGACTCATAGACCTACGGCGAGAGCGGAGAGACGCATTTCTAAATGCTATGAGCAACAAAGTGCAGTTTACTAGTGGATCCAGCAGGGAAAAATGTACATGTGGTAAGATCACAGACCATCATCCATGGTATCTGTTCAAGCTTTCCGTGTATATGGAGATGGACGAGAAACCTATTGTGCGGAATATGGATGATATGGATTGGGAAGCTGCAAAGAAGTTATGGAGCCACAAATGCATGGTTTGTGGCAGGTTAATGTACGATCGAACTGCGACTATGGAGCGCATCCGTCCATGCATTGACAGGTTACCCTTGCAGTTGAGACCGAGAATTTAATAGTGTATGTAGTTGGAAATTACATCGTACCGACTTAGTGTCCAGAGAGAGAAGAGAAGGGAATAGCCGAAGAATCCGAGAAGCAATGCACGAGCGGGAGAAGCTGAGGAACGTGGTTCGAGCGCAAGCCATAATAGGCCAGTGGTGTGCGGCGCGCTGACGTTGGCCGAGCATCTGCAATATATGTCAACGAGTTATGTCTAAATTTTTCGTTTCCTTTTCACTTACTATAAAGTCCAGCGCCGTAGCGTAGAAACATCTCAGTTCTTCGAGAGAGACTGAGATGTAAGTCTGTAGATTCTTGTACTGTCAGCGTTAACTGACGAAACTAATAGCGTACCTTGTTCTTCTAGGTATTACGCATGTTGATAGAGTTCTTCGAGAGAGACTGAGATCGTACCTTGTTCTTCTAGACCCATTTCTCCCGCCCTCGTTAGCCTCTTATCTCAAGACTTAGCGTTTCAGATGAGTGTTGGATATCAGGCCCAGTGAAAACCTACTGTTCTGAGAATGGCTGAGGTTGCGTGAAATTGTCTACATTAAGCGACAGAATCTCAACAGAAAAATGAGACTAATAGCACAGGTGCAAATGTGTGCGATCGTGCACCATTATCGCAGATTGTGTGCATGCACATTACCCCTAGATTGTACCAGATCACAATATCTGCTGCATCATCCCAAATGGCGTCAGATCTGCTGATATTGGGTTGCTACGATAATGTAGTTTACAGGCATACGGCTACAATGAAATACGACTGCTGGATGCGCTGCTGTTGTCCATTCCAACCCACACTCGTTCGGGCCCATGCTAGCCCGCGCTCGTTCCCGTTGACACTGTAGCACTTGGCTGCCAGTAGATCAGAAATGGTGAAGTCACAAGAAGTCAGAGAGAGCACGCTACCTGACGCGGGCCACCAGCGTGGTTTCCAATACTGTATTGGAGTTGCAATCGAAGACGATATGGGGAGACAGAGTGTTGGCGGCCGTCCATGGTCACGACGACGGTGTTATATGTTGTGAGGGCCTGATGGTGTTGATCGATTACGGCGCTGGCTAGACGAGTCACACAGTGAACAAAACAGAGCAAGGAAGGGGCATACCTGTAGTATATGTAACGTATCTAGGGGAAGCTGCAGGACAATAAATGGAAATGTATGATAAACGAGGAAGTTGCGTACCCGAAAAATTTCGAGCGAGTGCGGTCTGAAATGAGTAAGGCTCGTGCAAGCGCCAGTTTTGCTCTGTTTGATCAAGATGAGGACAAAGCGGTTAAGTGGTATAAGGTGAACGTATTTCATAGATATAACCAATAATTTACAAGGTGGAAATATTCATAAATAGGGTCGGTGCTTGCACGGGTGTGAGGCGCCATGGTGGGGGAGAGGAAGAAAGAAGTATTGGGGTATAGCGACACGAGGCGCAATATGTGTGTGGTATCTTGCGAAGAAGTGTTCCTAATTGGTAGCGCCGTTAGATGACATGCAACAATGAAGATGACCTCACACGATCTCAGACTATTGCTGCATGTAACATGCAACATGCAGCGGCGACGAGGAGAGATAATTCGATCTCAGACTAGTGCTATTATCAGTAATAACTTCGCCAGCACACAATCTCAAAAGGCTTCTCGAGTTCACGCACAACCTCGCATAATCTCAACCATTCTGGGAAGAGTGGGTTTTCACTGAGTATATATCAGGAGTCGAGGTTTGAGCTCGGGATTGATGGCGCAATATTACCGGGCGTCGGCAGCATGGTTTTAGCGTTGGCTGGCATATATAAGTAGGTTACGAGTACGCTATGCGTGTCCGAGACTTGTCAACAATGAGGCCCCCTAGGAATCTTTTGAGGTTGGGCGTTGGGCTTGCCCCTATAATAACAAGTTGGTGTCGTCGGGAATTGGCGGCGCTACAAATTCTGCTATAGTTTTTATTTGCATGCTGTAAGGATTCTCATTTCTTTACGCCTCTCACATCAACCCCAAGCAGTCTGTGACAGTTGTGGTACAAAGAGCTTTACTCTCTTTGCGTCCAATTTGACAACGAAAAGACCTTTAGTCTTTGACAGGCTCCAAAGCTTCATCCTTGGTTCTCGATCAATATTTTCTCCGTCGAACTCGTATTCTTCTTATTAATCTGCCCCATCTCCTCTGAGTCTGACATGCTTCAAGTCAGCTACCATCCACTCTTCGGCTCTCCAGATGCAGATGCAGTATTCCGTTCCAGTGAAGGGACACATTATAGGTTGCATTCATTCGTGTTGCGGACTACTTCAGGATTCTTTCGCCCTATGCTCTCCTTGAGCGATATCAACAGCATTGGATCAAGCCCTGATCCGTCATCCGAGGCCAGTTCAATTGGACTGCAAGAGACGGATGGCGTTCTCACCAGACTGTTCATTATGATAAGTGGAATGGAAATTCCCCAATGGGATTCCTTGGATGAAATTGAAGAGGTGCTTCACGCCGCCGAGAAATATGACATGCCGGGACCCATATCCATCTTACGCTCTGTTATCATATCGCATCACTTCATGGCAGAGCCCTTACACGTATATGCCATCGCTGCGCGGTATCAATGGGAAGAAGTACTCCAAAACGCAGCAGAAGCATGCTTTGCAATTCCTATTCACCAGCAGAATTATCTTTCAGTTCTCAAACGCATACCCACCGATGATCTTCTCCGACTCATAGACCTACGGCGAGAGCGGAGAGACGCATTTATGCGTGCTATCAACAACGAAGTGCAGTTTACTGATGGATGCAGCAGGGACGAATGTGTGTGTGGTAGGGCCACAGACCGTCATGCATTGTATCGGTTCAAACTTTCCGTATATAAGGAGATGGACGAGAAGCCTATTGCGCGGAATATGGATGATGAGGATTGGAAAGCTGCAAGGAGGTTATGGAACCACAAATGCCTGTTTTGTGGCACATTGGTGTACGATCGAATCGCGACTATGGAGGGCATTCGTCCATGCATTGACATGTTGCCCACGCAGTTGAGACCGAGAAGTTAATTGAAAATTAGTATAGTGCTATGTAATCAATTAGCATAGTGTCACAATCACACCAAATAGCACCAAAAACATGCCCTGAGCAAGGTTCGAACTTGCGACCTCAGGATTGCCCGAATACAATTCGGTCATATTCAAGATATGAGACCTGCGCTCTAACCAACTGAGCCATCAGGGCTTCGGAGTTCTGGAGTAATTAAAACATATCGCTACCTACGCTCACAAAGTACTTTCCAAATTAACCCCTGACTCCCATGACCTATCGTCCTGTCAGAACGTGGGACACGCAGCTTGCTCCGAGACCACTCAATGGACGGCATAGATAAACTCGGACTCTCCACAGCTTTAGCAAAGGCACGTAAGAGTTACCAAGAAGGAGGGATCCCGATTGGCGCTGCCCTTGTGTATCACGGGTCTTCAACAGATCCCAAAGATGCAATTGTCCTGGGATGCTCGCACAACTCACGCATTCAGAAGTCATCAGCTACGTTGCATGGAGAGATAGCTGCCTTAGAGGATGCAGGGAGACTCAAGGCACAGGTGTATAGAGGATCCACGATGGTGAGGCTCGCAGTGTGAATGGGTTCGATAGGATCTGATATCTGGTGCTTGGTTATGAACAAAGTACACGACCTTAAGGTGAGTGATCGTCATGCGTCGCTAGCTCTATCAATTACTCATTACTTACCACATGAATAGTCCTTGTACTATGTGCACAGGCGCAATTCTACTTTACAAGATTCCACGTGTCGTCATCGGAGAGAATGAGAACTGGGTAGGAGGTGAAGAGCTGCTGAAAAGCCAAGGCGTCGAGGTCATAGTGGTTGATAATGCAGAGTGCAAGGAGCTCATGAAGAAATTCATTGTCGAAAAACCAGAGGTGCGTTGATGGTCTAATACGGATGGCATATTTGTGATAATTGATGATCTATGTGCAGGAATGGAACGAGGATATCGGTGAGATCCAGTAGAAAAATCTGTCTACACCTGCCTGGTAAAATGCATACGTTCATGTCACAATGTGCCTTGGTGCAGCAATATCACGGGATGCATTATGAGGATCCGACTGTCACCGTCACAGCTTCTCCCATTCCGTTCTTCGTCACCTCTCTTATGCTGAGATCTACAGCACCATTGCTGCTAATGATTGCCTGCACTTGCACCTTCGTCTTGCCCTTAGAAGTGTTGGAAGGCGAAAGTGATAACGAAGCCAAGAATGCTTCTTTTGAGATCGTCTTTTCTTTTACCTCCTCTAACTCTTCTTCTTCTTCTTCCTCCTCCTCCTCCTCCTCCTCGTCTTCTTCGTCTTCCACTTTTGGGGGCTTGACATGATCGATCCTAACTCCTTCACTAACTTCCCAGAGCTCGAAGCCAACTCGATCTTCAGACCCGCTGACATTCACCTCCACAGTGACAGTGCGCCTGCATGGCAGAGGTGTCTCCTTCAAAATGAGAGGAACCCATACTCCGCCCAAGCCGCCCTCTTCTGCAGACACCTGAGGAACTAGAAGGCCGATAGTACGGCTCGTAGCGCTGATGTTACTAGTTCCATTGCCCTTGATGAATGCCTGGCAAACCTCCTCGGTTTCTACAGCAAGGCCAACAAGCAATTGAGCTTGGAGGGCACAGCCGCGTGCCAGAATGGTGGTTGGGTCACCGATGCCACCGCCAGCGACTGTGCCAGCCTTGAAGGGGGTAATGACGTTTTCGGTGAAACCTTCAGCCAGGGTCTCATCCAGGCCTGGCAAGCAAGCGCAACCGCCGATATACACGATCTCGTCGACGTCATACAAATCTATCCCTGCGCTCACGACAAGCTCCTTTACTTTTGCGTAAACCTTCTCATATACCGAGCGCACCTCCATATCAAATCGGAGCCGGTTTATGGAACCAGTGTAGTCGAGACCCTCTTTGAGTGACTCTACGGAACAAGTAGCGGCACCAGGACTTGCACTAAGTGTGCGCTTTGTGTGCTCGACTGCAAGTCTGAGTTTGGCTTCGGCGCGTTTATCGATGGGATCGGATGCGGGCGCGACAGTTAATGGCGTTTTGGTTTTTTTGGTGAATTCTTTTGCAAAGAATTTGATCAACTTGGAATCGATCTCATCGCCACCGACAGACGAGTCAGAGATAGTCGCGAGTGAGTACGCGAGGCCCTCGCGGATTGAAAGAAGAGACAGTTCGAGGGACGATGCGCCGAGATCAACGATGAGCTGTGTTCGATCAGAAGGGATCTCCTCTGATCCTGCAGCAGTGCAGACAGCAACTGCACCTGCATCATCAAGTAATTGAAGGACGTGAATTCCAGCATCCTCTGCAGCTTTTATCACTGCCTTTCTCTGGGCGTCATCGAACCATGAGGGCAAGCTGATTACAGCCCCCAATACTTTTTTCCCAAGGAAGTCCTCAGCAGATTGCACGAGCGAACCGAGGAATATTGTGGTCACTTCGGAAACAGTCAGGATACGCTCAACCTCGATGGGCTCTGAGCGTGGAGTGGCAACTTGTGACGCTGCAGGTGTATTGGTAGCGGTAGTTTTAAGAGGTGAAGGTGCAGGTTGCAAGACTTTAACCTTGTAAGCTGCCGTATCGGGTAGTGAAGGGTGTTGTATGACCGGGGTAGAGACAGACAAAGTCGCCTGTGGTACTTCTGAGAACCTATCATATGCCTTCAGACTGGATACAATAATGAACGTCACAAAACAACGCACTTTTTACCTAGAAGGTTACGGAATCCGGTGATAGTATTTTGAGAGTTCTTGACCAGTTGATGTCTTGCTTGATTTCCGATATACTGAGAAGACAAAACTTAGGTAAGTAGCATGAACACGAGATATTAGGTTACCACACACCATCTCCTCCCCATAAAATGAAATAGCACAAGCGATCTGACGCTCTCCATCCTCGTTGGCTATGCACTCAGCAATGCCTTCCTGTCCTCCGAAAAAAAAGTATGAGATTTAATGAGATTGACAGCAGGAAACAAACCCACTTTTGTTAAGACTGCGATAGATGCATATGAGTTACCAAAGTTGATGCCAACAATAGAAGGTATTGCAGAAACCTCAATCGGAGCCTCTGCAGTTCCATTCGGTAAGAGTCCGTTGGGAGCCATGGTCTATGGTGTTCAAAGGATATGAGGACGATCTGCCAATGAAAAATTCCTTTCCTGGCCAGTGCACATAGAAAAAAAATCAGCTGGCACGTGTGAAATCCTGTCTGAAAAAGTTATTTTTGGTTGGCATGCCTTATAGGGCATTGTAAGAAGTGGACCCGAAAATAATGCAAGCGGGGCTCAATTGCAACCTGAAGTCGGCTTGATTCGGTCACCAGACGCTAGGTGACTTGTAAATTAGTATTTCTTTGAGACAGCGACGCATTCATATTTTTTACTATATGTATTTTCTTGTTTTCTCCACAGAGCTGTCACTTCTCGGTTTAAAATTGATTGCGGGTCCTCCGTGCATTGAGCTGGAGGACCCCGCTTGCCCTAAACTCATCATACGAGTGCCTTAAACCAGTGCAAGTTGATTCAAAACATATTAGGGACAGATTTTGATAAAGCTTCGTTTACGGTGCCCCTTGCGACGTAATTGTAAGTCTAGAGGATAGGTTACGGTTCGATTTGCCGATTTGCCGCGACGTATTTTGAAGTCCGATCAATGTTTGTTCTAGTCTTGAACTATTTGTTGGTATGAATATAATTTTATGTCACAAAAAGTCACAAGTGCGGTTACTTACTACTACCGGTAATGGTCAGACTCGCCCGACCCCGGTGCTCCGTGTCTTGAGCTGGATTCCGGCACAGCTTCAAAGGTTCGTGCATAAGACATAAGTATCTTAGACGCGGGTCACACGGTATACAATCTCACTGTCAGTTCAGTTATGCTGGCAAAGGGAAGCAGTGTGAGCATGTTATTAACCAATACACTTGTCCCACAGACAAAGAATTGTGAAGCTCAGAGCCTGCAGGCCTTGTGACTTGACTGAAAACCTATCAATGTATGAACCCCTTGAAACCATCCATGAGTGGATGTCAAGGTGTGTTCCGATAAATAAAAAAGCTGTCATCAGCAGGTTTTGAACCTGCACAGGAAAGAGAAACAGATTTTGATTCCATTATGGTAACCAACCATCAGGCTAAGACTAGTTACAATGAACTGCCAAAGAAACCATCATGGGTGAATATCAAGGTGTGTTCTGATAGAAAAAACCTTGTTGTTGGCAGGTTTCCAACCTGCACAGTTCAAGAGAAACAGATTTTGATTCTGTCGTGGCAACCACCAGGCTAACACCAGCTATGGTGAACTTTTAAAGAAACCATCCAAGAGTGAACATCAAAGTGTGTTCTGACAGAAAAAACCTTGTCATCAGCAGGTTTTGAACCCACACACTTCAAGATAAACAGATTTTGATTCTGTTGTGGCAACTGCCTAGCTAAGACCAGTTACAATGAACATCTAAAGAAGCCATCCATGAGTGAATGTCAAGGTGTGTTTCAATAGAAAAAAACCTTGTCATCTGCAGGTTTCAAACCTGCACAGTCCAAGAGAAACAGATTTTGGTTCTGTTGTGGCAACCACCTGACTAAGACCAGTTGCAGGGAACATCTGAAGAAACCGTTCATGAATGAATGTCAAAGTGTGTTCTGATAGAAAAAAACTGTAGTTCAGCAGGTTTCGAACCTGTGAAGTCCACGAGAAACAGATTTCAATTCTGTTGTGGTAATCACACTAGCCAGGCTAAAGTCTTTAACTCCCACTTGACGACTCATCCTAAGTTGAAGACCTATGAGGCCCCTGATTGACACTGCCCGAAAAGATGACATGGACAGTAAAGTTCGAGTCTGAACCGTCTACGAGACAATAGAATTGCCCCGGCGAGGGACGAAGACTAAGATAATTCTAATACACCATCATTAGCAGCAAGTTCAATGTGATTGACCACTAAGTATACACGGAGTTTCTGTAAACACAGAAGGGAATGAGCAGATACTAGAAAACGAGGACAGTGAAACACCACCTTGAAGGCCAGACATGGAGAATTGGAGACGGGAGTCTCGTCTTCCTACAAAACGGTGGCCACGCAGCAATGCAGTTCATCCCAAACATAACATCGAGACCTCACGCGACCTCGAACTCGACATCGGTAGTGAGAGCATGGCAATAAATCACTGAG